ACTATCCAGGACAGTTTGGACCCCCCACCAGGCTCAATAAGCGGTGAAAGCCAGATCGAGCATTGGGTAGGGAGAGGGACCTCTTTGGTACAAGGGAAGGGTCGCTCAGGTGGGTAGTTTGGTCGAGACGTACGTCCACCGAGTTATGGTTGCCTCCTACCCCGTCCGTCCCCCCAGAGAGGAGGGGAGTCATTCGTTGGAGGGCGGGTTTGGTTTCTCCCTGGGGTTGTGGCGGACTCACGTAGAATAACTTCGTCAAGCGACGCGCCAACTGCTACAGTCGGTTCTCTCAGTGAGGAACTTCCGCTATCCCAAGGGGGTCGACCTTCGGGAGGATTTAGGGTCGACAGGGGGTGTCTGGGGTAAGTCCATTAAGTGCGAGATGAGAAGAAATCTTTCTATGTAGTCTACCAGGAAAGACAGAGAATTGTCAGGGACAATATGAAAAGTTGTTAATATGCATATCCAGAGTCTCCCCGTAAGATGGCTTAATCATGGTGTTCACGCCAGGTGTTGTTCTTTTTGATTAAATTGTTTTGTTAATTAGGTATTTTTTTACCTTTTTTGCAGTAGAGGACATTTCGGCATCATGACATTTTTCGTCCGATTTTATTTGACCTACCGGATGGACGGGACAGTCGGAAGGTAGACACGTGTTTGAATAGAGCACGGGAGTAACCAGTACACGCGCAACACACACAACCTCCTCCCCGAGAAATTCCTTCCACGTCTAAACCAAGCGCCGACAAAATAAAATTTTAAGATCGCGTGAGCTCGACCAAAGAGGTTTTAATCGATGAGGTGGAAGTTCATAAGTCTGTATCTATAAATGATTCTTATACAATACCAGATAAACATTTGTGTCGAAATTTATCTATCACATTAGGGAATTAGCTATTGTTTCTTGTAGTAATATCCCATTAGTGAAATATGGAACCATTCATCGACAGGGGTGTGGGACTGGTAGATTTTAAGTCTAAAGACATTTATTTGTGAATTTTGTAAAAAAATTTACAACAAGTTACACATAAATTCTTCTAAGAATACTTATGTAAGTTTGTCTTAACCTTATAAATCTAAATGAACACCATAGTAAAAAAATTATTTTTTTGATATTGAGTTTTTAGTACAGTGATGGCTTTGTGTTCCCCAAAAGATCAGGTTACCGACTCGGACCAAAATCGGTGTGGGACGTAAAACTGTTCCGCCGTCACCTGTGACGTCGATATAGTCTGAAAACTATATTGTTAGACAAGGTTTTTAGACTTTTAGCCGCACATTGGAATTCTTAACCCGTGATGGGCTGTGTGTATAATGAGCCGCATAAATACGTTTCATATATCCAAAAATACACGCACTTGGAGAAGTTTCTGCAGCTAGTACATCGGTACATGGACGATCCATTAAGAAACGGAGTTATGAATCTATCTTAGCAGTGAGTCAGTGGACTGTACCCCCCTTTAGCAATAGCCATCACTGTTTTACCTTACCCATCGTCCATTTAGGTGGGTAAAATTTATTTAGACAAAATTTCAGACTTTAAGTCACACAATTAAATTTAATATGTTAAATAATATCGATAAAAATCCGTATATAAGTATCCAAGTCTTATATATTTTTGTAGGAGATACTGTCACAAAGACGAGTTTATGGTTTGTCTAGTGGGTAAAATGGAGTAAGGGGAGATAAAGTCGGACAATGATTTCACGGCTAAGACCCAGTCATCGAAGTTGTAAGTGAAAGTTGTACTCCGTAAATACCCATTTTCTAATTCTTATTCCCAACTTCCCTTATACTACGTTGGAACTCTTTTCTATGACACCAGTTATAGCTTTGGACCACAAACATTTTTTTAATTCATATAACTCAATAGTTGATTTACTAATAATATGACTAACCAAATTACAGACAAGTTAAAGTTGTTAGTAGTTGAAGACCTTAGGTTATATACTAGTCATAAGACGAAAATTATTTCTTTCAAAACGTAATACTAAAAAACTTAACATATTTAACTTTGCAGCTCGCGGTTTGCACATCAAGACCACTGACCCTTGCAGGACCTCTCCGGGTTTCAAGTCCTCCGGAAGTTGAGTGTGAGGCCGCCTTCGAAAAGACCGTAAGGACACCTCCAACCCCTGTAACTTGGTCTCACCAGCCACAAGTTTCGGAGATAACGGCTTCGGGCGCCGCCCCTCGACACCAGAGTCCAGATCCACGGAGTTGCCCCGCCATTTGTGGAGCTTGAGGACCACCTGTGGCCACCAGTCCCTCGGCACGGCTGACTTCTTCCTCCCGGAGTCCCTAACAATAGGGGCCCCCTGAGGGCTCCGTCAACGGTTCACATGGCTGTCCGGGCTTCCCGTTCGCGGAGTCGGGCACCGGCTCGTGTCCGTCGCCCACACCCGTCTTCAAGGCCTCTTCTGTAGCCTGTTTCTGAAGCCCGCCGTGGATTTCAACAAGACCTTTTGACAGGCTAGTGGAGCTCCCCCTTTTCGTCCCTTGGTAGGTTCGACACATGTCATTTCCTACCCTGCAAACAACTGGTAGTTGACTACCGTCACAATCCCGCAACCTCCTGTGAAACTCCTTTAGACTTGGGCTGTTGAGGCGGGAGCAAACAATCTCCGTCTCGGACCTCATACTGCCCCCTAGCTGTGGTTAGAGGGCCCCCCTCCAGTGACTCCAGCAAGTTTGTTGAAGTGTCACCGTCTTCGGGGCCCCCACCTACTCTTAGGCGGGTCTTTACGACTTCCGAAGACCCACAACTCCTGACATTACCAACTGTGCAAGTAGTTGCAAGCCCACCTTCAGCCTTGTCATGGCTTCCCCTTTTTTTTTTTCCAACCGTCTGGCCCCCACCACCAAGGGGAAAAATTTTCCCCCTAGTCTCCCAGACACGGTTAATGTCTCCGTAGGTGATGAGTCGGAGCGGGCGCCTTTCAAATGAGATTCCATAGCTTTCCTCCCAAGTCCGGGCTAACAGCTTGGAGTCTAACTCTCCTTGTTACGCCTAAGGCAGGACCAGCACTTGCTGCCTAGTCGAAAAATTGAGAGCGTCTTTCCTAGGACTTGCCCCCCCCGGACCCTCATGCGAATTAGGTCAGATGTACACCACAAACATCTGAACCTCTTCCGGATCTGGCCCAAAGGGTCCCTACGTGACACCCTCAACGACGCCCTCATACCCCACTGCCCCCAGGAGATGAGTCCCCGGTAGGTTAGAGACATGAGGCTTTCGCTCTCGACACAGGCCCCAGGGACGCCGTCATTCAGCCTGGTGAAAGTCCAACAACCAACCCGAGGACGTTACCGCAAACAGACAGACCGATGAGTTAAGAGACAAACAAATTATAATGAATAACCTAGCCTAAAACTCCGCATCAGCACCCCTCCCCCAGACGTCAAGCCACCTGGATTCCTAACGGTGGTGACGAAGAAACGTCTACTACCACCAAGACTACCGGATAGTAGCCAGGGACGCTGGAAGTCGTGAGTGACCTAGGCCAAGCGTTGGCTCACACTTCGCCACCCTACTCCTAGGTCCGGTGGAGGTTTAGACTCCGGTACCAAGAGTCGTCCTGTTGGCTACCTTGACAGGTGAGGTTCATCCCTTACTAGGAA